CGGAAAGGGATGGCAACTGAGGACGCGATTGTCTTTTTCAATCGGGAGGGACTCTAAGCTCCCGACTGCTCTGAACTCCACATCTATTAACAAGTGAATCTAAAAGTCATGTGAACAAATAATCGATGAACAGAATCAACTGGTGAATATAATAAAATCAGGGGCATAGAAAGGGAATGGACTGGCTATTCTTGGGGGGGGGGGAAACGAGTGAGGGTGATGCGGGAATAGACTGGACAAAAATTGTGCACCTATGAATGAGGAAAGTGGGTGGGGAGTATGGGTGGAAGGTGGGGTGGAGGGGAGTTTTGGGGTGGGGGGAAGAGGAACAAATGTAATAATCTGATCAATAAAGATTTAAAAAGAAAAAAAGAAGAGGAAAGGGGAGTCCATGGCCCTCAACGAGAAGCAGATGCTGGAGAAGGTCAAGAGCCCGTTTGTGGTCAACCTGGCCTATGCCTACAAGACCAAGGACAGGCTGTGCTTGGTCCTGACCATCATGAATGGGGGCGACCTGAAGTTCCACATCTACAACATGGGCAACCTCGGCTTTGAGGAAGAGCAGGCCCTGTTCTACCCAGCGGAGATCCTGTGCGGCCTGGAAGACCTGCATCTGGAGAACACCGTCTACAGGGATCTGAACCCTGAGAATATCCTGCTAGGTGATTATGGCCACATTAGGATCTCCGACCTGGGCCTGGCCATGAAGATCCCTGAGGGAGACCTGATCTGAGGCCGGGTGGGCACCGTCGGCTACATGGCTCCCGAAGTCCTGAACAATCAGAGGTATGGCCTGAGCCCCGACTACTGGGGTCTGGGCTGCCTCCTCTACAAGATGATCAAGGGCTAGTCGCCGTTCCGGGGCCACAAGGAGAAGATGAAGCGGGAGGAGGTGGGCTGCCGGGTCCTGGAGACCGAGGAGGTGTACTCCCACAAGTTCTCGGAGGAGGCCAAGTCCATCTGTAAAATTCTGCTCACCAAAGACACGAAGCAGAGGCTGGGCTGTCAGGAGGAAAGGGCCACAGAGGTCAAGAGGCACCCCTTCTTCAGGAACATGAACTTCAAGTGCTTGGAAGCCAGGATGTTGGACCCGCCCTTCATTCCAGATCCCCAGGCCGTGTACTGTAAGGACGTGCTGGACATTGAGCAGTTCTCCACCGTGAAGGGCGTCAACCGGGACCACACGGACGACGACTTCTACTCCAAGTTCTCCACAGGCTCCGTGCCCATCCCCTGGCAGAACGAGATGATAGAAATGGAATGCTTTAAGGAGCTGAACGTGTTTGGACCTAACGGTACCCTCTCACCAGACCTGGACCGGAGTCACCCTCCGGAGCCACCAAAGAAAGGGCTGTTCCAGAGAATCTTCAAGTGTCAGTACAATTCCAAGAGTTCGCCCAACTCCAAGACCAGTTTTAACCACCACATAAACTCAAACCACATCAGCTCCAATTCCACTGGAAGCAGCTAGTGGCCGCTTGGCCTCGGGGTCCATGTGGGACAGGCTAGACCCTGTCCTTAGAAGCAGAACTTGTGACCTGTGGTGCGTCCACTCTGGATGGGTGGACGGGGCAGCTCGCCCGGAGCCGGCGAAGGAAGGAGGCGCCGCCCTCAGCACAGAGCCTCCGGGTTCCTCAGGTGCCACACAGGTCTGTGCAGAAGCGGCCCTCAAGCCGGGTGGACTGGCTTTGTTTCTGTCAGTGACCACCAGATCAAAGAGAATTAAGGGATGTTTCTCTTTCATTGATGAAGAAGAAAAAAGAAAGAAGAGAAAAAGAAAAAAAAGGAGTGCAAAAATGAAATTGGAAAAAGGAAAAGAAAGTAAGAGAGAAAAGAAAGAGAATTAAACAAAAGAGGGGAAAAAACTATTTATATGGGGAGAAAACTCCAATAGAACAGCCACTAATCCCAACAAATTCCAGCAACAGTACCTAAAGATGAATGCAAACTACAAACAACAACTAACATCAAGTGAGGCAAGGGAAAGCAGAAGCACAAAAATAACCGAGGGGGGTGGGCAACAAAAAAAGAAAAAGTGAAATGATCTCACAAACAAGCATAAAAAAACCAATATAATCAATAATCAAGCAAACAACAAAAGGACAGAGAGAAAAAAGAAAAAAATTTTGGATAGTGAAGAAAGAGAAGAGAGAGGTGTATATGGACTTAGAGCAGGGGATTGGAAATTAGATATATAAGTAGGGTGAAATTTTAACAGGGGGTAAAAAGAAGAAATAGAGAAAATCTAAAGCAGGAATAGGGTAAGAGAAACAGGACAAAAGGGGAAAAGTGAGGAAGAGAGTTTTGGCATAAAGGTGTAGCTGGACATTTGTAAACAAGGATCTGAAGTCCTGCCATGAAGAAGTGAATGTTCTATCAGGAGCACAGCATGACTTCCAAGCGAGTCACACTGGGTCAAGATTGCACACAATCTTGAGTTCCAGGAACATTTACCTCCCTGAGAAAGGCTAAGATTAAATAGTCATGGGTGTAGAACAGAAAGGGAGGGCACAGCTGCAAGTTGTCTTCAATACACTATTGTAATAATATAGAACAAAACAAGATTTAGTTGATTAGTTGCTGATGCACTAACCTTGTACCATACCCCAATAAAAGCAATGGTGAGAGTGCAGAGTTTGCTTCATGCCTGAACGAGATGTAGCCCTCTGTCTGGCATCAATCATCCTGTGTGCTCATCTTACCTCTGCATCTTCGGTTCATTAAACATCCCTCAACATAAAGGTAAAGTTGAGATAGAGTAAAATGATGCTAATGGAAACATGAAAATAGAATGTAGAACACTAACCCCAAAATAAAATGAAGAGAAAAGAAAATGACACTTTAAAAAAAGGTAAAATGGTAGTAGTAATAATACTGGTTAAAAATAAAAATGTTACACCGTGCTTGGGCTGCCATGGCAGGTTAAAGTGCTGCCCGGGGAGGGGCGCGGCGCGGCACAAGCAGCCGGCGGTTCCAGGATGAAGAGGAGAGCTGGCCTGGGGGGCAGCAAGAGAGGAGACGCCTGCGGGGCTGCCGGAACCTCTACAAGAAGGACCTCCTCGGCCACTTCGGCTGTGTCAATGCCATTGAATTCTCCAACAATGGAGGCCAGTGGCTGGTCTCAGGAGGAGATGATTGCCGGGTTCTGCTATGGCACATGGAACAAGCTATCCACTCCAGAGTCAAGCCCATACAGCTTAAAGGAGAGCATCATTCTAACATTTTCTGCCTGGATTTCAACAATGGGAACACCAAAGTACTCTCTGGAGGAAATTATGAGCAATTATCCTCCATGATGTTGAAAGCAGCGAGACCTTGGACATGTTTGCTCACGAAGATGCAGTATATGGCTTGTCAGTAAGCCCAGTGAATGACAACATTTTTGCCAGCTCCTCAGATGATGGCCGGGTTCTCATCTGGGACATCCGGGAGTCTCCCCATGGAGAGCCTTTTTGCCTGGCAAACTATCCATCAGCCTTTCACAGCGTCATGTTTAACCCTGTGGAGCCCAGGTTGTTGGCCACAGCCAATTCAAAGGAAGGAGTGGGACTCTGGGATATTCGAAAACCTCAGAGTTCTCTCCTACGCTATGGTGGCAACCTGTCCCTTCAAAGTGCCATGAGTGTGCGATTCAACAGCAACGGGACTCAGCTCCTGTCCA